CTTTCATGGGCGTCTCGGCAATAATACGCTTCTTAATCTGCCATGCCTCCACAACTTCCATGATTTGGCAAGGTGGACATCCACTTATTGCCCTTTGCTTGAAGGCTGATTTTAGAGGGGTAGTTGTAAACTGTATGTTGGAACTGTTCGTTTGCAACTGAGGAAGGAGGTTTCATCATGGAGATTTCAGCAGTGTTTTCATAGAATCACGTGAATCACAGAATGGCCAGGGTTGGAAGGGACCTCCAGGATCATGAAGCTCCAACCCATCACCCACATGCAGGGCCACCAACCTCCACATTTAATACCAGCCCAAGCTGCCCAAGGCCCCATCCAACCTGTCCTTGAACACCTCCAGGGATGGATGGAGCATCCACAACCTGTGCCAGCACCTCACCACTCTCATAGTAAAGAACTTCCCCCTGACATCCAACCTAAATCTTCCCTCCTTCAACTTGAAATATTTTCAAGGGGAATTTTCAAGACGTTTTGAACGTGGTGGAGAATGACAGGAACAGGCAGATATAATGTAAAGATCTTTTTGCTGTTTTTCTGTCTCAAAATCAAAGAGTCACATCTGTAGCAATGGTTAGCATGTATGTGGTGTTGTATGTCCTTTTCAGTCTCTGCAGTCTTTCCAAAACAAAAGTGGAGAAAGTCTCATGGTAGATATGATATATAGGTGTGGTAGAGACTGACAGATAAAAAGCACTGGTTGACTTACCCAGGGTCACACAACTGGTCAGTGACAGGGCTGGAATTTGAACCAGACCCCTGAAAACTTTTGGCATGTCTAACTATACCATCATGCAAGCTTTGTTGAGAAGTATGACAGGAAGAACTCCTTCAGTGATCAGCCCATGATGCAGAAGGAGCGTGCAGAGTTCCATCAGAAGCCAGTGGTGTCTGGCTCTTTCAAGACTTAAATTTCATTTGCAGTATGTTCGTGTGCTGGCTTTTAACAGATGTCTGTGACTTTTCAGGATCATACATCTGTTTCACCAGATTGCACTGTATGGTCAGGAATTATCATAACCATTCTCTGATATGAAAAAACCTCACTGCCAGAAGATAGAGGGCTTCTTATTTCCTGTGAAGCAGCACTGCCATTTTTCTGCATAGATCTTTTTGAAGGGCAAGAGCAGTATTCAGCAGTGTACTCTGTTCAGTGACCCATTAGCCTAGTAAGTATCTTTAAGAAAATATCCCTTACAGGAGATCTTTAATGGAATGAGAGAGCTGAAATAGAGAATTGTGTTTCCTTCCATTTGATAAAATGCAGGATGAATACCAAATCATGACTGATTCTGCTAACTGGCTAAGGAACTAACTGTGTGACTACAAAGGTATGAGGGGCTACATAACTGCTGGTAACTACCACTACTATTGATAATGCAGCAGGTATTATTTTCTGCCACTGCCTAATTGCTTTAGAGGAACTTATTAAAACTGGAAGCACTATTGTGTCAGGAGCTGTTTCACATGGAGTATCTCGAGAGCCATCAAGATGATCCTGCTGTGGGTTACAATACGTATGAGTAAAAGCAAAGAGTGGTTTTGTGAGGAAGCTGTCATTTTGAAAACTCAGTTGGCAAGGGACGGTCTGCACATTGTTCTGTATCTTAATGAGACATTAACAACAGAAACGATGGCAGATTCTCATCAGATATTTCAAAACTCACTGCAAGAATCGCACTTTGTAAAGTGCAACAAATCTCTTTTGTTCCTCGATCCTTTGCAAGCGTGACCTACAGTTCCTCAACTAACATCTCCCTAAACTTATTTGGCATATTGTTCGCTAGCCCCTAGTAATCACAACTCAAGATACATGAATTAGTTTAATGAAAATAACCCCCCATTTTCTGTCTCAGAGAATGCCCAATTCTCATTAATACTAATGGCTGTTACACACACGTGCTGACAGTAACCTCACAGGTTTTATGGCTTAGTGATTTACCAATTATGCAGGCTGGTGTTAGTTTTATGGTGTGGATACTGCCTTAATGTTTCACATGATAAACACACAGGCTTGCATCTGGACAAAACGCAGCGGATTAAATGAAAGAAAACTTTCTCCTTGCCCAGCAGAACACTTAAAATTTGCGTAACTGGAGCAAATTTTAGGAAGGTAAACTATCTTTCACCAAATGTTCCTTATTTGAGACTATGAGACTACTGAGTCTTATTGAGACTATCTGAGACTTATTTGAGGCTCTGAAAGGAAACCAGCTCATCTCAGCTTGTGTGGTGCTGATTAACCAACATGTGAGGTGGAAGCAAGAAGTGATGTGAGTACCCTCTTCTTAGGAAGTCAGAAAACTCCATTAGGAAGTTCTCCTGTGACTTCTCTCACCACCAGGCAGATGTTCGTGCCTAGTGCAGTACTCCTTACTGCAGCTTACTAGCAACTGCAGACCTTACTGTAAACTGGGTAATAAACCAAATTACTTCAAGTCCAGGTATGTGGGGATCAGTAGTGGGGATTCTGGGAGTATTTTGAGGTATTTCTTTGAATAATTTGCTCAGTACTCTCAGTTGTATCTTTGAACTCATCTCTGTCTCCACTAGCAAGTACTGGAACCCTTGGCTAGCTTGTGATCCTGTTAGCTCAAATCTCATCAAGAGCTAAGAAGGTGATACTGCTTTCCTTTCAGTAAGTGCTGAGGCTCCTGTTGGAAAATAGCCTAAGAGAACCACTTATTGTGTTCCTATCTGTAGCTATTCAGTGCTTCCTGAAAATGATGTGTTCAGCCTACAGTAGGTGCTTTATCCCTGTTTGTGATGGTGTAGCAGTACCTGATCAGTCAGGAGAACATAGGAACATTGTGTTTAAGTAAGCTTCACAGACAAAACGAAAGAAGTCTGTGGAAATCTCCACACCACATTTCTTGCTCTTGCTCATGTTTTTTTCAGTAGAGAGGAGGAACTCTGACCATATAAATGCTCCCATATGAGAATCTGTGTTGTGAAGTTATGGCCTAAAAATATGTTGTATCAAAACATAGCAGGCTGCTTAACTCCTGCATAATGGAGGAACTCAATGAAGAACTGCAGCTCATATTACTTTTCAGGTCTGTTTTACTTTCATAGTTTTTTTTTCATTTTTTCTTTTTCTTTTTTTTTTTTTAAGCAGGAAATTGCATAGTATAATTACAAGTTCATTTGCATTCTTATTACAGGCTGTGAGCAAGTATGTTCTTTTGTATTTAAAAAATATTGTTAGCAAGTGTGACTTGCATCCACAAATTTCCAACATGGGAATGGAGTTTATGCTTACTGCAAGTCCCTGCTCTTGTTCACCAACAGCCAGCACCCTTATGTTAAAAGCAGGACATGAGGGAGGTCAGCAGCGTGAAAAATGCAACTTCATTTTACAGTGCAACAGGCAAGGATGGAGAGCAGCTCAATGATTGTTTCCCCAACACAAAATGTGCCTTTTGAGAATTGAAGTTCGCAAACATTTTGTCTGACTTAATGCTTACAGACAAGCATGGCCAAATGTCATCCAGAGGATGCTGTTATTTCCTAATGGAAAAGTGTCTTCTGTTTGTTGACTTTTTCTTCAGTCTCTTGTCTCTTTGAGATGACAAAATTCACCCCAGTGGAAAACATTGCTGCAGTCATTTTACTACAGGGCCTTAGATTATTTAAACCCACATTAGAATAAGTGGGTTCCATTGATAAGCTTGCCTTTCATTTCTTTAATGAATGGAAGAAAACAGTTCTACAGTAGAAGTCTTGACTCCACTACATGCTTCTATAAGTGTGGTATGACTTCTAAAATGTGTTTGTTGTTTTTATTTTTTTACACAGTAAAGGTTGTTAGATGATTGTATACGTTATGCTTAACTCCTAATGCATTAAGGAATGAGTTATTGAGGAAAATAAATAGGAGTGCTCTCAGATCTGTGTGTTGAGCCTCATGGATGGGTATTCTGCCCTGCTAAATAATTCGCCATGTCAGTGCAGACCTCTCACCTGCCAGCTGGAGGGAAGTCAGCCTGTAAGCATCTTTCTGCCTGGCGAGCATCGTGCTGATCACTGACTGATCATATAGAATGGCTGGGGTTGGAAGGGACCCCAAAAATCATGAAGCTCCACCCCCCCTGCTGCAAGCAAGGGCCACCATCCTCCGCATTTAATACTAGCCCAGGCTGCCAGGACCCCATCCAACCTGGCCTTGAACACCTAATGGCCATCTCAAGGAGCATTATTGGTGTACTCCGCGCGATGTCTTGCTGGTACCTTCCAATGAGGTTGGAGCCATCTCCTCAACACCCAGACCCTCGAGGTGAATCGCATCGATCTGGCAGCTACAAAAAGCTTTTCTTTCAGTAATTTACCTCAGTTAGCTGGAGTTGAGCTGCTTTTATGCCTCGATTGGAGATAACGCTAGTGAAATAGCAGTAACCTCACCAACTACTTCTCTTCTGTATGTAAATCCTTTCAGGAAGTGCATGACAGCCTCCCTTTTCTATGGTCTCCGTTTGTAAAGAAGCTGTTATCACAGAATAAGTTTAATGGCTCGTGAATTTTGTGTTGAAAGGAGCGTCTCCCTCTGACTTCTGATCTGCCTGCAATAGACCTACTGGCTCGGCAGCAAGTGCGTTAGGCTAAATATGCTTCCTCCATTGACTCTGAAGGTAACAGCCCTAAATGCCTCATTAAATTTTCACGGGTGACTGAGAGAAGCCATGAGAAAAACACCACGCTAGCAGCGGGGTGACAGCGGGGCGTTCGAACCCCTCCCCACGGCGAACCCCGCGGCCGCGGAGCCCCGAGGGACGGCAGGGTTCCACGCGTGGACAGGGGCCGCCCCCCGTCCCCAGCCCTGCGAGAGGGGGGGAGGGGGAGGAGGAGGAGACCGACCCCCGGCAGCAGCCTTCCTCCACCGCACGCCTTCCTATCCCCTCCCTCTGGCCTCAGCGCCGCGCTGGCGGGGCCGGAGAGGGCAGACGGCGCGGGAAGGCGGCTCTCCCAGCATGGATGAGCCATGTGTATCCTAAGGAATAACAGCAGCTGCTGCGCCCACGATGGGGAGCAGAGGAATGCGCGGAGGAGAGGGCTCGCTGGGGCAGGTGAGGAAGCGGCTCGCAGCGCGGATGCCGGGTGGGTCGTCCTCCGAGGCGAGCGCAGCCGGAGGGGCCCTTTCCCTGCCGGGGAAAGGCAGGGGCTCTCCGGTGGAAGTTTTTTTTCGCCACCCGGAGGAGGAAAGGGGCTGAAATCTCTGCAAGTCGCGGCAACTTGAGGGTTTCCCCCGAGTCTCAGGGGCAGAAGCGGCTTGATTTTCAGCTCCTCCATCCCCGGACGCGCTGCGCTGCGATGCTGTGCGGGGTTCCCCCCTCTCCTGCTACCCCCAGCCGGGCCGGGGCCGCTCCGCGGGTCGTTGCCGCCCCCCAGCTGGGAGCATCGATCTCGCTCCGCTGCCGGCTTCGCCCCGGCCCCGCGGGCTGTTAGCTCCCCGGGCAGCGGGCACGGCTCCGCGCCACGGTGGTCGGGCTGCGCCGTCGCTGCTCTCCCCGTGAAGGCGCAGTCGGGGTGGGAGACGCCGCGCTGAGGCGCGGAGGGGAAATGGCGCCGGGAGCTGAGGGGCCGCTGCCCCCCAGACCATCCCTAGAACCACCCGGCTTTGCTCCCGGCAGCGGACGGGCAGGGGAGCACGAATGGCTTCAACCTGCGAGCAGACGGCTGTGGGGCTGGGACAGCCGCGCGGGGAGCTGAGCGGCCGCTTCTCCTCTGGGTGCTGCCCGCGGTGGTCTTCTCCATCCTAAATACCCAAGGAATGGCCCAGCAATGCAATGGAGAGCACTCAACAAAGCTTGTCTTCCCCCCCCTCCCCTCCCCCCAGGTGATGGGGTGCTTTTAATTCCAGTGCCAACTTCTGTTGCGCTGTGCGGCTCCAAGTGAAGTTGAGGTCTTTCCCCAGAAGTAGTTGTGAAAGCGGAGTCCTTGGAACTCTTTGCCGTTTGTCTGCGTTCTGAATGCACGTCTGAATCACTTAATCATGTTTATTGTTTTCAACCACTCAAACGGAATAAAAATTACTTAGCGTTGATGGAGCTTGTCCCGCAAGCTGTCTCACAGTATGTTTCCGTTGCGAGATGCAGCACTGTGCAAACTATGGGCCGTGGTATTGTTTATTGTTCTTCCTTTCTCCACCCCCCACTCCCCCCCCCCACAGCGCCGGTATCAAGCTGTTCTTCTCTGTTCCATTCAAAAATAATGGGAGTTTTCACCAGTAAGTTCAATATTCCGACTTTTGTCTGAGATTTTTATCTTTTCTATTCGCTCCTCAGCTAATTTTCATCAAGCTGAGATATAGAGGAGTGAAGGCATTAAGCTAAAGGGCACTTTCCAACTCTTGAAATGGAGCTGTAGGTAGAATTAGTGCTGGCTTCACAGCCATTGTTTATTTCTATCCCAACCACGCCATTCCCTGCCCCTTTGTCATTCTCACTTTGTCCATTACACCTTCTAACACACCATTCGCTTTGGTCTGCAAGTTCAGATTTATGGTTTGTGGGGTTTGATATAGATGCTGCTCTTGGGCTGTGCCTCATAGGAGATTCTGCTGCACTTTAACAGTATCTCAGCACAGTGATGGAGGACACCATCATGTTTTCATGTAGGATTACCTTTGGGACTTCAGAGCCTGCACACATCAGTGGTTTCATCTTAGGAGGATTGAAATTGATTTTTTTTATTATTATTTTTAGTTCAGCCAGTGAAAGACCCTATGTATGTCCTTTGACCCGTGGCCTCACATGATGAAGTGACATCAGCAGTGGAGGATGTTAGCTTGCAGTTCATGCTGTAGGGCCTCCCAAGTAGTGATACGAGCACGAACACACTGCTGGTGGCCAGCCTGCCTGGTACTGAGAGCAGAACACCATTGTTAAGTATGCATTGGAAGGTGCATATACTGAAACAATTTTAAGCCATGAACCTCATGATTCCTTATTAATCCTTTTGTAAGGCCCACCCGAGGTTCTTGCTTCAAGCACAATGCAGGAAGGTTGTCTTTCCTTCTCATCCTTAGTTCTGACAGGCCTCTTTGCTTTTAAACAGTTTGGATTTCCAGTCCTGCAAGACGTTTGTATTGAATTAGGAGCAGCCAAGCTACTTGGTTAAATAGTGGTTTGATGAGAGAACTTCTGTTTTTACAACTGTGTTTACTTTTCAAAGTGATAGCAAATATAGGAAGGAAGACCAAGATTTTCTAGACTTTATAGTTCAAATAAACTTTCCCAGTCAATATTTAGACAAGGTCTTGATGGTTAAAGTTAACTGTGCAAGTCAATGTTTAGTCAAGGTAATGACTTGGTTTTTACAAACACTACCCAAGCATTCCTGCAAAATTAATCAGAGTTGCAGGATCACAGTACATTTGATCAGCCAGTTACTTAGGAATAAAATACATTGTGAGTTGGTCTCAGATGTCCTGTGCCAGCTGATATTTCAGCAGTGCTTGCCACCAGTCCTTTGTGGCCTCATTCTTACAGCACTAGTTCTACTTGTAAAGCATGTATGTGTGCACAGAGGATTTGTGGGACAAAATGAATCCTGTGCTGTCTTCTTTTCATAGGTAGGGAAATAAGGCATCTCTTAAAAAGAACTGTAAAGCTGTGCAGTACAGCAGCAGCAGCCTTCACGTGTGCTGTTCCAAGCAGGTGGTTTTGGGTGGTTTGCAGGATGAGGTGGGCATTTCTGATAACGAAGTCATTGGATAAAATCTGAAAACAGTTTTGGTGTCTGGGACAAAAAGGATGTAATTAAATGCTGCCCTTGGTACGCAGAGTGCAATACTGAGGTGTATTGTGGTGAGGGAAAGAGCTGGAGGTCTCTGCTGCAATTCTTCCTTTCTTGAGGTTGAGTGAAGATCTTCATTCTTCTTGCTTTGGTCTCTCCAGCTGACACTAAAACAACAGTCTGGACTTCATTTGTTCCAGATTTTTTTTTCTTCTTTCTTTCTTCCTTTTTTTTCTTTCTTTTTATTAATTGAACCACTTGCAAATGCATTCCATGCAATTACATGGGTATTAGAGTAGATATTCATTAGGATTTTACTAATCTAAACCTCAAGTGCTGTTCTGCAAATTTGCCAGTTTTTCTAAGGGTGTGCTTGACTTCACCAGTAGCAGTGTTTTGTTATGAGTATTTTGAAACAGTAGAATGAAAAGCATATATTCCAAATCAAGTAATTAATCAGATTTAAATATTTTCATTTGCATGCTTTGGCTTGATACATAGAGAAAATGCAACCCTGTACTTTGCACATAGCAGTAGGTTTTGCCCCAGTTTAGCCACAGTGGAATTATATTTCATGGCCCTGATTGAGGATTTAATCCACAAGTGAATCTTCTCTTTCTGTCTAAAAGGAGCAACATTTTTCCAGCTTGAGAAAGTTAGTAAACCCATTAGTGTAAACAAGACAAAAGCAAGAGATTTGCCTCAAGCTGTGTACCCTTCTGAAGAATGGAAGCAGAGAGAGACTTGTTGGCTTTTCTTTTAATGTGTGTGAGACTTTTGGAGGTGTAGGGATAAAGCTAGTGCTCAGGATGACCAGCTGTGTGCCTGTGCACGTTTGGGGGCTATAGGCATCATGTCCCCAGCTGTGAGAATCTGGTTATCAAGTCTTTTAGACTCAGCTGCATGCTCTCACCTGATCTATCTGCAGCAGGACTGCTGAAGGGGCTGTGCCTTGTGCCTTGCTCTTAGTCACAGAATCATAGAATGGTCTGGGTTGAAAAGGACTACAATGACACAATGATCATCTCGTTTCAACCCCCTGCTATGTGCAGGGTTGCCAACCAGCAGCCCAGGCTGCCCAGAGCCACATCCAGCCTGGCCTTGAATGCCTCCAGGAATGGGGCATCCACAACCTCCTTGGGCAACCTGTTCCAGTGCCTCACCACCCTGTGTGAAAAACTTCTTCCTCATATCTAACCTAAACCTCCCCTGTTTCAGTTTAAAACCATTCCCCCTTGTCCTATCAAATATCAACACATGTAAGCAGTCATTCCTCCTCCTGTTTATTTAGAGTCACTGTCATGGACTGATGCCAGCACCTCGGAGGTGTGAAGGTTTAGTTAGGTTGCTCTTGGAATGAGAAAGCAGGGTAACCACAGCATGTCTTAGAAGTGCTGCGTTCTGGCACAGGAGGAGTGCCGCAGGGCAGGCTTGGGTAGAGCTTCCAGCCTGTCATCCCTTATCCTTTCTATGGATGGTGCTTCTCCCATCATTCCTTTATTGCTGGTATAACGAGGATCCATAAATTGTTACTTTTCTTCAAGGTAAAAAAAATAAAATAAAAAAATAGGGCAGTGTAATAGCTAAGTACACAAAGGCATTGTTACACCATTTTTCCCTATATACACATATATTTTTCTTTATATATATTATATATATACACACACAAATATTTAATAGCTGCTGCTTTATACAGATCTTGCACAAGTCCTTGGATATTGCCAAGCAGCTGCAATGAGATACTGAGAGCTTTCTTTTTTTTTTTTTCCCCAGCAAATAGTGATTACTCTTGTGAGTAAAAGAACATCAGTTTCTTGAGAGTCTTTGCAATTCCCCAAGCCCAGAGGCAAATGAATAGAAATTTAGTGGACCACCTAGTTCTTGACATCGAATTCTCCAAAGAGGACTCTGACCTAATTTATATTGTATTGAATCAAATAATCCTATCATGCATGTGAGCTTGCCATTTTGTTTTCCTTTAGCAGGCATATTGCTGTCTTGCAAAATGTTCAGATTTAGCAGTTAGGCAGCGTCCCTGTGGTTTTAGGAGGTGCTTTTAGGAGTAGCTACTGGAAAATTACACGTAGAGGACAGATGTGAATTAGCAGATCATCAAGATATAACACTGAGACTGCTGGAATTATTCACACCTGAATGTGAGCGTATCATTGTGTAGTGCTGAGGGCAATCAGGACCCCTCCACTGCCAAGCCTTCCCATTACTTTTAAGGATGGAGCCACAATCTCACCAGAGTGGTTTTTGTAGCAGAAAAACCATGATGCAAAGATCTTTTCATCTGTGTGATAGGGCAACTGGCAGCATTTCTTCT